TCTTGCATCCTTTGCCAAATTAAGAGAAAAAAATGAACCCAGGTTTTCTTTACCACTGAGCAACACTCCCAGTCCAATTTTTTTTTTGAGACAGTGTGTCACTAAATAACTGAGCATCTTGCTAAGTTGCTGAGCCTATCCTTGAACTTGGGATCCTCCTGCCACAGCCTCCTGAGTTGCTGGAACTGCGGGCTTCTGCCGCTCACTGCACTTGGCAAGAGAAAAATTATGACTGCTACTATTTCAAATAGGAGTTGTGTGACCTCCTTTGCATGTGGAACTTTTCACAATTTGTTTTGGGGTTGTTTTCTTCACTGGTGTTCTCCTTATATTCACTCCAATAAAAATGACCTATTCACCATCATAATCAGGGACCGTTGGAGTATTATTTATCAGCAAATATTTCATCGATAGTATTAGGTTTTCCTTGATTTTCGCACAAGTAACAATTTTGGCAGCCTACTCCTTTGAGATGAGAGTTCTTGATGTCCTTCATTATTTAGTTATTCTTTTAAATTTTTTGTTAGTGCATTTTGGCTGTACATAATATTGAGGTTCATTTTGACAAGATTATATAAGCTTGGAATATATTTTGCTCCAATTCATTCCCCAGAATTTCCCTTTCCCTCCCTTTCCCTGCCCCCTGTTCCCTTTTATCTATTCTACCAATCTTTCTTCTATTTATTTATGATTTTCTTCTAAGAGTGCCTAGAGATATACACACAGGTGGAATTCACTGTGGTATATTCACATATGTACACAGGATAGTTTGCTCAGTTGTATTCCTCCCTTTCCTGTCCCTCCTCATTCCCCTTCCTCTACTCTACTGAACGCTCTTCTATTTTCATGGGATCCTACCAACATTTTCCCCTTATTTTGGTCTACCTTCTGCATAACAGAGAAAACATTTGAATAAAGGAGAATATATTCGACCGTGGGCTTTCTGCATCTGGCTTTTTTCAATCAGCCTGATGGTCTCTCCATTTACATCTATTTTCAAGCAAATGCTTTGATTTTATTCTTCTTTTTGGATGAGTAAAACTCCATTATATTTGTGTGTGTTTGTGTGTGTAGATATGTGTTTGTCACATTTTCTTTATCCATTTGTCTGTTGATGGGCACCTGGGCTGCTTTTGTTACTTGGCTCTTGTGAATCATGTACTTCTAGGCGTGATAGGTCCATTGTGTGCAATCTCTGTGGTAGGTCCATTCCTAGCTGTTTGAGGAATCTCCATCCTGTTTTCCAGAGTGGTTGTATTAATTTGCAGTCCCATCAAAACTGTACGAGTGTTCCTTTCCCCCACATTCTTGCTGACACTGATCATTATTTGTGTTGTTGATAATTGCCATCCTGAGTGGAGAGAGATATAATCTCAATGCACGTTAGATTTGCATTTCCCTGGACGCTAGAGATATTGAACATTTTTTCCTTTATTTGTTGGCCATTTGTATTTCTTCTTTTGAGAAGTGTGTTTAGTTCTTTTGTCCAATAATTAATAGGGTTATTTGGTGTTATGTGTGTTAAGTTTTTTGAGTTCTTCAGATATAATACTCAAATACTTAATTCCTGTCTTTGGTTCAACTTTTGTAATTTATTAAGTAAGTATATGTAAGAAAGATTTTGAATGTATTATCATAGGTTCTTTTAACTTCAACTTGTTTTCATGTAAGTGAAATCTCTCTAAGGAGATTCTTTGGATAGTCGTTTCTTAACAATTTAAGAAGGAATGAGCTTTTGATCTCTCTAATGAGAATTCACCAACTTCAGCATTTAAGACTTATTTTGGATCTAAATATTAAGAGTATAATTTTAAACATGGTAAAAGTCAATAATATTTTACAGTATTTAAATATCCCCATTTCTGTTTGTGTTCTCTGCTTGGGGATTGTGGTTTTGCTGTTTCTCCTTTTACCAATTCATTGAGTGGCCCAAAAGCCAGGTCCCTTAACTTCCAGGCTGAGGGAAACCTATGGGGCCTGTCCTCAGTCATAGAATACCCATTGAGAAGTGGCAGCCTGGTCATTGCACAAGTCATATGGGGTCTGGCATGGCCCACCTCATAGACTCCTTGGTGGTCCTAGAATTTCAGGGACCACCTGTGCCCTGACATGTGGCATTCTCTTCAATCTGAGCCTGCCTGGGGAGTATCCAGCACCCAGTAATATCCCAGGGTCCACTGAAGCCCTCGTGGGGCAAAGTGGGCACATGTCCAAGGCTGGTGGGATTACGATAAGACAGGCACCTACCAATAAGTGCTGAATGCCTGCCTCGAACATCTGCTCACTCTTTCCTGTGGCTGTCCTTTGTTCCTGTGCCTACCCTGTTTCCTGCATTCTTGCACCTTAGTTGCCCATGACTTGCCTGCCCTCACACTGCTGCCTCCTCAGGGTCAGTTACTTTGGCCCTAGAAGTGCCCTAGATCCACCTCAGAGAACCACCTCTTTGGGTAATGAGTGGGACCTCTCATAGTCTTCTCTCAGCAGCCCGAGACTTCACCACTTGTGGGAGCATGTCAGTGACACACCTGGATCCTTCCGGCCCACCTTTCCTGGAAATTATCTGGAAATTCTGCTGTCTAGAGGCCCCTTGGTCCATGCCTGTGATTCTTTGATTAACCATGAAGAAAGCAGCACTGGAGACCTGATGACTCCATCCTTGACACAATCTGTTGTTGCAGTCCCTACCCTGTGAGCCCTAGCTCAGTGTCCAGGTACCTTATTCTCAACCCAGTACCCCCATGAGATCACTGCAAACACTTCAAAAGTTGTTTTTTAAATATTAACTCGTTCCCTTACTTTGTCTTTTCAGTAAAACATTACATGAGACCATGATTGCTCGCTACTTGCCCCATTTACTCTATCAACCCCTGAAGTGAATTATCACATGTTCATATTCATTTCCAGTCTTCAACACCATTGTTCCCTCTCTTCCCAATAATTTACCTGTGTCGTTCCCGTCATCTTCCCTGTCTTCAATCCAAAGACCCATTTTACTCATGCTAATGGATTTCTGCATTTACCAAGGAAAGTCACCCAGAGCAAAATAAAAATAATTGACTGGATATTATTTCTTTTAAAAAATTTTGTAGTTGTAGAGAGACAGAATGCCTTTATTTGTTTATTTTTTTAAAATATATATATTTTAAATATCTTTTTTTCATTCATTTTTTTATATGTTGCTAAGGAACGAACCCAGTGTCTCACACATGCAAGGCAAGATCTCTACCACTGAGCCACAACCCCAGCCCCTATTTGTTTATTTTTATGGCATGATAAATATCAAACCCAGTGTTTCACACATGCTAGTCATGTGTTCTACCACTGAGCTACAGGCCCAGCCCTGGATATTATTTCTTAGCATTCTTCTTTACAAAGAAAAATATGAACTCAGTATGCATGAAATAACTTGGAATAATGTTTCTAATGAAAACCATTGGCATTTTGAAGCAGTACCAACTACCATGATGAATTTATGGCTTATGAAAATGAGTATGTTCTTATGGGTCTACAGGAAAAGGCATATGGCTCCTTTGGCATCCAAAGTTTTATTCTAGTTGTGTAGAACCACCCATGAGTTACTGGCAGTTGATTTCACAGTAGTTTTCTTTAGTCACCTTGTGCAGCAAGCCCTTTTTCAAACCTTGTCATGAGTTGGTTCCAATTTCCAGAGCAATAATGAATACTAATCCTGATGAGAGGACTTATTCATAATATATTGGAAGATATTAGCATGAATATTAACACTGAAATAAATGATGTGAGAAAAAAGGAGTAATCCTAGTCTTCTTGATGATTCACCTTCCTCTTCTTCATTTGATGAAAGGGATAAGAAACGTGTCCCTCTCACAGCTCTGGATTTGTATTTTCAAATCATCGCTTTTAAAACAAGCATCCAACAGTTCTTGGCAACAAAAGGTATCACAACATGTCTTTCCTCTAACCCCAAGATGAATTTCACTCAGAGGATCTTACTGCTTTAGCGCAGCAACTATCCCACACTGTGGGCCTATGCATAGGACTCAGACACTTCAGGCCTCTGAATTAGCCAGCCTACACAAGGATTTGGGCTGTGGTCCCATCATCCATGCAGAATTGCACAGCATGAAGGGTTTTGGCTTAAAAATTAGAAAAACTCTCTGGGGCTGGCGTTGTGGCTCAGTGGTAGAGCACTTGTCTAGCATGTGTGAAGCTCTGGGTTTGATTCTCAGCACCACATAAAAATAAATAAATTAAATAAAGGTTCATCAACAACTAGAAAAAGTCTCAATGAGTTAGACTATTAATTTCAGGCTCTGGGGAGTTGAAAAATGAATTACTTCTTGAAATTTTGGCTTCACTCCTTGTGCACTGTATCTTCATTACTACAGTTAGTGAATGTTAAAATCTTTGACTGAGATGTGTCTGATTATATATTTTCTGCCATATCACACAAAAAGTACCTCTGGATAAGTCTGCCACACGCTTCTTGGAGAATAAGAGTGAACAATGTCAATTCCTCCCTTACAAAAATGAGGTGACCTGATTTAACCTTAGGAAGGGTGACCTAGGAATATACCTGTCAGAAATCACCATTAAAGGAAATGATTAGCTGCAGAACCATGAAAAGAAATCCTCTGGGGCTGTGGATGTAGCTCAAGCGGTAGCGAGCTCGCCTGGCATGCGTGGGGCCCGGGTTAGATCTTCAGGACCACATACAAAGATGTTGTGTCCGCCGAAAACTAAAAAATAAATATTAAAATTCTCTCTCTCTCTCTCTCTCTCTCTCTCTCTCTCTCTCTCTTAAAAAAAGAAATCCTCTGTTGGAGTAAATGAAACCACACATGTATTAGAGGTGGCAATTTTTTCATTTATTAAATAATCCTTGGAGATGGGCAGGGCACCCCCTTGCCCACCCCCAGACATGAGCTGTGCAGTACTGACAGCACTACAGGTATTTGGGGCCCAGTGATGGCTCTGAAAAGAGCCTTGGGGGTTGGCTGCTGAGGGCGCCCAGAGTCGGCTCACTGGCGGGGATGTGACTGATTGATGGCTCTGGTGGCCTCATACACAGCATGTTTGCCAATCTCCCCGGGCAGTAGGAGGCGTACAGCCGCCTGGATGTCCCTGGAGGTGATGGTGGAGTGATGATTCTGGCCGGCCAGGCGGCTGGCCTCGCTGGCGATGCACTGGAACATGTCCTTGACGAAGGAGTCCAGGACGCTCACGGTCGACCGGGAGAGGATGAGGCCCGAATGGATGTGCTTCAGCACCTTCGGGAAATAAGTAGCAAAACTTTCCCCACTCCTGGAGTGGGTACGGCTCTTCTTGCACCCAGAGCGGCTGCGGTGCCGCAGCTTCTTCTCTTTAGGTGGATGTGTTAGGCCGGGCTCCTGAGGCTCTCGGGGATTTAGGGACTTCTCAGAAGACTGGTCACAAGCCAGGTTAGCCATCGCCTTAGCCTTTTCCAACACTGGGGTAGGGTACACGTCAACAGCTTCTTCAGCCATTTGCCTTGACAGCGTCCAACACTTGCAGAGGACAGAGAATGAGAGTTGCTAGGGGCCAGCTCCCCTTTATATAGGCCTTATTGTGTCTTGTCACAGGCCAACTCGACGTCTCATTGGATGCCCGCAATGCAAGAACTGTGTCAGTATGCTATGTGGCACAATGTGATTGGAGTGTATTGTGTCTTTGCCTCCAATCCACCAATGAGAGTGGGTGCTCAGTATGATGGGAGGGTCCTCCTGTTTGACCAATCACAGAGAATGTCTGTCATTCCACAATGCAACTGTCTCCTCTACCAGAGCGTTAAGAAGATACCACAGAGGACCAACGGTCATTTTGAAAAGATGGTTACCAGAATGTCCTCAAGAGTAGGAATTAGAACTCTGGCTCCTTGAGACAGTCTGTCATCAGAATCTCTAGTGCATGGTCTCAGAGATGTGCCAATAGGGTACGTCTGGGCTTTTGCTTTGTCAAAGCAGAAAATATCTTTGTCCTGAGTGGAGCCACTCTGGCTTGAGCAGCAGTTCCCTGACCGGGCCAGCTGAGTGTTCCTGGAAGCCAAGGGGCCTGACTGTCCCTCTCATGCCTCTCCTTCCCATCAAACCCTCAGTGAACTGGGAAAAGGAGAAATGACAAAACCCCAGTTTCCAAACGGTGAACACGAAGAGAAGGCAGCTATTTGTTACACATGTACATGTTCCTTCGGCATTTCCCAAGTCCAAATTGTATTCTAATTTATTTATTTTTTTTAATTTTTGGTACCACAAATTGTACTCAGGGGCACTTAACCATTGAACCACACTCACAGTCATTTTATTTTTTATTTTGAGACAGGGTTTCCCTAAGTTGCTTAGAGTCTTGAGAAATTTCTGAGGCCTTCCTTGAACCTGTGATCCTCCTGCCTCACCCTACAGAGCAGCTGGGATTAAAGGCCTTCACCATGCCCGAACCAAATTGTGTTTTTAAAGATCTTTAACTGTAAAACAACACAACACAACAACAACAACAACAACTACAAATACCTCCACATACTATCATTGGTGAAGAAAGATAAAGATTCTTGACTGAAATTCAATATGATACCATTTCTGTAATAAACCATCAGAGGGAGAGAAAGCTAGTTTAATCTCAGTAACTCAGGTCTATTATTCACCACTACAGTTTCGCTACCTACCTGCTCCAGTTCTGAAGCATGTCCATATCTGCCTCACAATTACCTAGACAGCATTCTGGCATATGTAATCCAAGCCCCTTTTCCCTATGAAGAAATGTTAGGCCAGTTTGGTCCATTATTCCTTCGAATCAAAACTTTTTAAAAAAAATTTTCCTAGAATAACCCACCCTGGTTTGAGCTGGAATTCCCTGACATGGCCAGCAGAGTGCTCCTGGAAGTAGAGACTTGGCTGCATAAAAAAAAAAAAAATTCAGATTTGACCAAAACTCTCAGAGAATCAGAAAAAGTAGAAATAGCAAAACCACAGTCTCCAAACCCAGAGCACAAACAGATATCGGTACACATACATAAATGTTAATATTTTCTTAAATATCTACCAAGTATAAAATGTTTTTTTCTTAACAACACTTGGATTCTAAAAGTATTCTAAATCTGGAATGGGAGAATGAGAGCAGTTCAGGCAACTACTGTTAACCTAATTTCTTTAAGAAACTTCCTTAGGGAGAGAAAGGGAATAAAGTGAATGGAAAACGGTTTTAAATTGAAAGATATTCTTCAAGAATCCATGATAATACATTTAAAACCATTTCTTAAATAGATGGAAGTAAAACATAGATCACAGAAATTGAACCAAACAAGGAGTCAAGGATTAAGAAGACTTGAAGAATTAGAGATCCCTCATGAGATGTCACACCAAATGGCCAGGATTCCCACAGTGTTTCCTTGTCAGACCTGTAAGAATCGAATAATAATTCTAGAATATGAAGGGATGAAAACCTTTTTTTCTTTCTAAACATACAATGTGATGAGAAAGAAGCATGCTAAGAATTCTGAGCAGTTCATTTTTAAGCAAGGATACAAAAATGTTTCTTGAAATATCAACCATCAAATATTGTACCATGTAACATTAAACAAAACAAAATAAAGGAATAGATTATTGCCATAAATAGCAATTAGAAGGATCAAACTGAAGAAAATATTATTACTATGTTCCACCTTTTTTCAACATAATCCCTATTATAAAATTCATTTAAATATATAACTAATGACATAAACACTGAGAAGAAATAGCTAAATGAGGAAATTAAACGAAATGAGGATATGTCTTATTAGTAGAGCACCTGTCTAGCTTGCATGAGTCCCTGGGTTTGAATCCCAGACTACACAAGGAAAAGTTAGAAAGACAAAGAAAAGAAAAAAAATGAGTAAGTACTCTTTTCAAGCTTTCTCAAGCTGAGGAAGCTATTCTACCTCATTTAGACTTATCTGATTCTATTATTTTCCTGTTGTGTTTATCAGTTCTCTATCACTATAACAAAACTCTTCAGGTAAACAAGTCATAAGGAGGAAAGGTTTATTTTTGGTCAAGTTTTCTGATTTTTCAGTCCATGCTCACTTGGCCCTATTGTCTTTGCCCTGTGGTGATGCTCTATACAGGTCAGGAGCACATGGGAAAAAATTTGTTCATCTCCTAAAGGTCAGGGATTGAGAAAAGAGAGACACACACAGTAAGAGGCAGGAGCTAGGTTACACTATCTCCTTCAAGTGCATGCCCTCAATGTTCTAACTTTCTTGCACGAGGCCCCACTTCCTTCAGGCTCCATTCCCTCCATATCACACAACAGGCTGGCAACTAAGCCTTGAACACATGGGCCTTCGTGGGCCTGTGTTAGTCGGTTTTCTGTTACTGTGACAAAGTACCCGATAAATGAATTTAAAGGAGGAAAGGTTTATTTTGGCTCATGGTTCCAGTGGTTTCAGTTTATAGTCTCTGGTTCCATGGCTTTGGGTCTGAGGTGAGCCAGAACATTGTGGCAGAAAGTTGTGTCAGAACAGAGCTTCTTGCCTCAGGGTGAATGGGAAGGAGAGAGAGGGGGAGGCATTTATAGAGAAGATACTCTCTTTAGGGGAATGCCCCTAGTGACCTACGCCTCCAATGAGGCCCTGCTGTCTCCCAACAGTCTTTTCAATTATGAATCCATCAATGGATTAATCCATTGTTGACATCAGAGCTTTTACATTATCAGCGTCTATTTGAGGAATACAGGATTCACAGGACAACCATACTCCAGTTTGTCTGTATTCAACRTTACATATGGCATGCTGCATCATCTCAAGAACCTATGACCCTATGGARTCCATCTGAAAACATAAATGAGGACCCAAACATAGTACAGAAATACTTAAGTCAAAAGTTCAGGGAAGGGCTGGGGATGTGGCTCAAGCGGTAGCGCGCTCGCCTAGCATGCGTACGGCCCGGGTTCGATCCTCAGCACCACATACCAACAAAGATGTTGTGTCTGCCGAGAACTAAGAAAAAATAAATAAATGTTAAAATTCTCTCTCTGTCCCCCTCTCTCTCACTCTCTTTAAAAAAAAATGATAGTTGAATAAAATTTAAAAAAAAAGTTCAGGGAAAAATGCCTATTCCTAGGCTCTTTGGAAACTGAACTTTCTACTTTTAATCATTCAGATATGTGATCACCTCCTTTTTTTCACTATTATATTTTGTTCTGGAACATGCAAGCCTTCATGACTTACATCTGTGCAAAACAGGGATGATTGGAGGGTCTGAGCAGAACAACTCAAGCTGCACTCTGCTGCCAGTGAGCCAGTGAGTAACCTGCATCCCTGGAACCACAGCCATTTGCCCAGCGTGTGATCAGGTGTCACAGGTGATCCTGTAAGAGTCTTCCTGCACTATTGAGTCTTGGACTTGAGGGGGAAGCCTGTGATCCTTTGCCTGCCGGTTGTTTCTTGGTGGGATATGTTGTGTGCATTGAATCGTGGTGATAAGCATGTGGATCCAGAGATTGAGTGACATGGCCACTCCTGCCACTGAACAAGGGAGCAATGGAAATCAATTAGTAGAATGAAAATGATGCCCCCCGTCCCCACCCCATTTTCTTCCTCAAACTATTTGAAGGTAGAGATATTTTACTTCTCTCACCTCTACACACTCATGCTCATCAAAATGAAATTCACCACAATAACTTTGCAGGATGAAAACCCAGTTCCCAGGATGGTGCCCAGTACAATGGGATTGRTCTAGACTCYTSGTCCACCACTGMCCTCCCCRGATTTGATCATGGCTCATCACTTCTGCAAGARGAGAGTGAGGGCACGTTTGGGAAAAGGAAGCTTGAAAATATGACTGTTYATTTTTCTGTCCTCATTCTGAGAGAATTGAGCAGAAATCTGGGATCACATTTGGATTTTGCAGACCCAAAGTAGGAATATTAAGATTTTACCTAGGATATTCATTTCTTTTGTTCTTTTTAGATATACATGATAGTAGAGTATATTTTGACATATTATACTTACATGGACTATAACTTCCTATTCTTTTTTGTGATTTTATATGTTATAAAGTTATGCTGGTCACGTATTCATATGTAATCATAGGAAAGTCATATCCAAAACATTCTGCTATATTTCCAATTCCCATTCCCCTGCCTTCCCTTCATTCTCTTTTGTCTAAACCACTGAACTTCTGTTCTTCTCCCAATACCTTTATTGTGATTCAGCATCCACATATCAGAGAGAACACTTGGCCTTTTGTTTTGGGGGATTGGTTTATTTCACTTAGCATGATAGTCTTCAGTCCGTTCATTTACTGGCCAATGCCACAATTTCATTCTTCTTTGTGGCCAAGTAATATTCCATTTTGTATATATAACACATTTTCTTTATCCATTTATCTGTTGAAGGGCACATAGGTTGCCCTAGGTTGGTTCCATAGCTTAGCTATTGTGAATTGAGCTGCTACAAACATCAATGTGACTGTGTCAATATAGTATGCTACTTTACATCGTTTTGGTCTATGCC